AGGTTGTTAAATTTTGATGGTGTGCAATTAGAACGAGGTTGAAAGATTGTGTATATTTATTACTATACGATAGTTCTAGTGTGGAAATAGATCATCTTCCCAAAATAAATTAAGAGAATTTCAAAAAAAGGTCATATTTTAATTTTATTCATATATATATTTTAGTGATATATGAATAAGTCCAAAACTTAAATAACAATATTAATAATTTGATAAACAAAAATAGGATTCTGTTTTAATAAATTAGATAGGAATTAGTAAATCCGGTTAATATATATTTTAGCGGATTTTTATACTACGTGCTAGATTTGTTTGTATCATTCTGTTGATTTTTCACGTTGGGTTAAAGAAATAATCTCTTTGTAATTAGCATAATCAGTGTAACATCTCTTTTATGAAGTTCATGGATCTCTTTTATAAGTCAAAAATGAATACTCCCTCCGTTTCAATTTATTTGTCATTCTAGGTTCTTACACACAGATTAAGGAAACATTTAATTTTACACATTTTCAATATAAAAACACAATTACCAATACACCTAACCACTTTTCAACCAATAGAAAAATAGAATATCATATAAACCTAATAAATTTTGTCTCGAAATTCTAAAATGACACTTATTTTGAAACGAAATTTTTCCTCTCGAATGACATCTAATTCGAAACGGAGGGAGTACCTTTTAAAGTTTTTGAATATTAAATTTGTATAGATCTTGAGTTTGATACACATAAATTTCCAGCCTATGTTTTATAAGAACATAAATGATATTTAACTACTCCTAAATTATTATTATTATTATTATCTTTTTTTCTCATCGAAAGAACTCCTGAATTATTTTTACGAAGGGTGTGAAGGTCTAAGGAGAACCACAGAAAAATCCTAATTAATCCAGACCACCTAAACCTCATTATGTCTTAATTAGTTAATTTATTGTTGAGATAAATACTGCTTATTGGTTTTATTTTATCTTTTTAATGAAACAGAGTTGTGGATCCCATGTTTGAAAAAAATAGCATAAATAATTCAAGTTCGAGATCATGCGTTTTCAGTAGTCGTCATTGGACCAAGTATAATACTTTTTCATCTCATAATTTTTTCTTCATCTCATAATGTTTAATAGTTGCATTTGGTAAATTTAATGATCCAATTCCATAATTTCACAGGTAGGTGCTGGGAGCTGTACGTATGAAGGTGATTGTGATTTATAGTCTACCTTCGGGAATGAATAGTGGTATATTTGGAAGGCGAGAAACGACAAATTCTTTAATAGAAAAGTCATTTTCCGATTGACATTCTCCAACACGTGTTTTTTGAAACAGAATATTGGAGGAAGGCTAATGAAAAAAAGAAACAAACGAGGATCATGATAATCTTCCTTTTACAGAGACCGAGACAGTACCTCCGAGGATACCTGAATCCCTACCTGCCAAAATGATGAGTTATGGATCGATAATGGCAATGTTATTGGCTTAGGGTGGAGTCTTAAGGTTTGAGACGGACTGCTCGGATCTAGTTAACATGACCACAAAACCGGAAGATTGGTCGAGTTTCACAACAGACATCGAGGTGTTTCAAAGATTACAGAAGAATTTCGTAGATGTGAGTATGTCTCATATTCCTCGGAATATGAATGGTCGAACGGACGCTATAACAAAAAAAAGTAAGGATCAGAAGCTATACCTTTTCCCATATAGATCAGCTTCGACCAAACGGAGGTTCTTTCCGGAGAATCGACTCATCTAACTACCACTGATTTAATTTGGAGGGGTGATTGACAAAAAAAATAATGGTATAGTAAAGGTTGTTGAGAGAGTAGCATGGTGGAGAATTATAGTCTATCTTCGAGAATGGAGAATATTGCACACAAAAAAAAAATAGTTTGTCTTTAATTAGGATAACTATGGATCAGGTAAGGTTAATTCACATCTAATCTATTAAAACTGAAGTACAAATAGTACTTATCCCTTATAGTTGCACAAAAATTATAGTTTCATGCCATTGCCATTATAACTTTGTCGTTTCAATTAATTAACTCTAACCCATCAATTATTTTTTTGGGCTTTCACTATACTCTTAGCCCAAATAATTGTTATGTGTATTTAACCAAACCGACAGATCTAACTAATTAAGGCCTCTTTAAAAACTAAGTAGCAGAGATTTAACCAAACCGAACAAATCTAATAAATTCACTAGATACTGGACTATACTCCTATATTCACATTTTCTATTACTAATGGTCCACGTTTCATGACCTTTATATGTTTTAAACAGAGAACTATATTCTTTGTGACTATACATACCAACATTTTGTATATTAATTTTATGAAGGTATGGTTTTGTGGTTTAGATTTTTGTTTGCAATGAGCAATAATTTTTTATTGTTTATCATTTTGCTCCTTAAAATGACGTATTAACTTAGTAATATCATATAAAATCGGACATAATTTTACTTCTTTCCTTCAACAATTAAAAATATTCCAAAAACTACTCTTATATTTACGATAATTCAAAAACAAATCAACATATCACCTTTTTCTTAATTCTACGCAAACAGCATATCACATTTTATGGTTTATATTTTTTTGCAACTAGAAATATTTATTATTGTTTATTAATTTTCTCCTTAAAATGCCGTATTGGCTTAGGAAATCCTATAAAATCATATTATTTCATTGAACATATATCAACTAATATACTTAAGCCTTTGATACTTTATAGTTTAATTTATGAAGTAAACTATATGAAAGAACAATAAAACAAAAACACAATCTCATACTTTATAAAGGAATTATAAAGGAAAGCTAATAACATTTACAAGACAAACCAATGTCAAACCTGATCAATCTATGAATCTATAACATAATGAGTATAAAATTTTAAATTGATCGGAATTTCAAAATTAAAATATGATTACGAAGAACAAACACTCGCGCGGACGCGCGGGTCAAAAGCTAGTCTAACATATTAAAACTGAAGTACAAATAGAGAATAACCCTGACTTTTCCTAAAGAATTACAATTTCATGCCATTGCATTCAAAATTTTAATTGAAAATAAAGAAATTATTATTACTTACCAAAATAGTAGGATCTATATGC